CATTCTATACAGCAGATTCCTTCATGGTCCAGTCTAGGGTCGAATGTCATGCTTTCTCCTTCCTGCTGCTGTGAAATAAAAGGAGTATTTGTATTTTCTTTATACTGAGAGCATAGCATGCATGTTATTTTTAAATAAGACCTTGAATTTTTCCCTGCTATAGGAAATCAGCATAATCTGCTGTAAGAAGTTTTCAGTCTTGTTAATCTGTCATTCAGAATTCCTCCTGACATCAAGGAATCTTCACCTGACTAATCTGTCACTGGCAGAAAGTTGATATGTGCTTTGAACAATATCCTGAAGTTTCTCCATGCCCCTTTTTGTAAGAGGGTCTCTTGTCACCCAGGCTGGAGTGGAGAAGCTCACTGTAACCTCAGAAAAACGGCTCAAGCAGTGCTCCCACCTCAGCCTTTCAAGTATCTGGGAACATGAGTGCATGCCACCATTCTGGGTCTCTCGATGCTGAATAAACCATGACTGCCGGTCAGTAATGACTCAACTTGTTCTGAATAAGAATACAAAACAGAAGCATTATGGTCAAAAGTAGCACTTCTGCCAGCACTAATTTTTAGTGGAACACTGGTGGCTTCTTGTAGTAATAACTTCCAGGCTCTTGGGAGAGCACATTTGGAAGCTCATCCATTTGTACTGAAGACAGATTCCATTGCAGTTGCAACGGACTCTGTCAAGGCATTTAATTTCTCCGGGCTTCCTTTCAGCATCAGAATGGGGATGTTATTTCCATGAGGAAATAGGGGCCTCAGGAAAAAGCTCTAAGAATATATAAAAACTCCAGACCTTAAACTTTACCTTCTAGCTTCTACGTGCCATAATCTTGATTACACAGACATAAGGTTGTTGGAGTAAAAGTTTCCACACTGCTGGAGATTACAGAACGAGAAGGAATTTGCCCCCGATCTCATTTACATACAGTTTTCCTTTCCAAGGAGTTCTACAGGCAGAAATTCTGTGTCCTCTTTAATATGGCCTTGAATTATATTGCCAGGAGACCCTTAGTTTTAATGTAAATTCTTTGATTCAATGTAAGCCTTTTTCCTGGAGTTAGCTGATTCTGGTATTTTTGTTTAAGTCTTAATTGGGGGAGGAATAGTACTAAGAATTTCAAATATTGAATGTGGAGAAAATTGTATGTTGAACATCTAGATACAACAATGTCTAATGTCAAATTTGCTTTTTTCTTGAAGTATTTTGAAGTAAATTCTAAAGTTTAAATTCTGAAGTTTTTTTTTTCTTTGTTTTGTTTTTTGTTGGAGTCACACTTTGCTGCTCTAGGTAGAGTGCCATGGCATCATTATAGCTTGCAGCAACCTCAGACTCTTGAGCTCAAGTGATCCTCTTGCCTTGGCTTCCTGAGTAGCTGGGACTGCAGGTGTCCGTCCTACCACCCAGCTGTTTTTAGAGACAGGGTCTCACTCTTGCTCAGGCTGGTCTGGAAATCCTGAACTCAAGCAATCTACCTGGGCCCCCTAGAGTGCTAGGAGTAAGGTGTGAACCACTTCACCTGGCCCCTGCAGTGAGTTTAAAGGGAATTGAAGACATTGTGACATTTCACCCATAAATACATTAGAATGTACCTCCAAAATAAGATGTTTTCCTACATAACCACACTGCCATTATCACACCTAACAAAATTAATTTCCTTAATACTATTTCATATAGTTTTATGTTCAAATTATGTCACCAAAATATCATTCTCTTACACCATTTCTTCTTTCATTCTTCAGACTCTATTTTTTTTTATCTTTTGAAATACCATGTTTCCCCCAAAATAAGACACCGCCTTATATTTTTTCTCAAGAAGACACACTAGGGCTTATTTTCAGGGGATGTCTTATTTTTATTAAGTATAATACAACAATCTACATTTATTCAAATACAGTTAAGTCATCTTCTGGAACTTGACGGGGAGCCGGCCTTGTTGGGAGGGACTGGCGCTAGTAATGCGTGATCTCCTTTCCCCTAGCCATTCGTACATGCGCAATAGGAAGCCTGCGACTGCGGTTACCACACATGCACCTGCACAAGTGCAAATGGCTGGGAGAAAAGAGCTGTGGCAGGTAAAAGGTATTCCAGTCTTTCTTACTGCTCCGCGCCAAAATGCATGGCATGGCTATGCAGATACCCTGCATAGCCATGCTCATCACTAGGTCTTATTATCGGGGTAGGGCTTATATTTAACAAATGCATAAAGATCCTGCTAGGGCTTATTTTTTGGTAGGTCTTATTTTTGGGGAAACATGGTAGGTTCCTCTGGGACAGCAAAAAGACAACTATTTCATTAATTGTAGCTGACTTCTCTTGGGAGGGGTAGGAGGAGTCAAAAGGTCTGTAGGTGAGGCATTTCCTTATCTGGGAGTTTAACAGAGGATTGTTAAGATCAGGTTGTTGTTCAAAGATACTTCCTTAAAGGAATATGTGAAGGACTGACATAATTTCTGCTTAAAGCTCAACATATAATAAATAAAAAGATTGATATAATTGGAATTTTTAAAGGAATATGGATTAAATCTGGAACTAAAGCAAAGTTATATCCTGCCCTTTCCTCATCCTTTGAACTAGATTCAACCAGCCCAGCTACCTGACAATATACTATATTAAATTTTATTTGTCTATTCAAATTTTATTTCTTTTTTATTCTTTGAACTCAGGAAGTGAATTATTGTAGTGTCCTGAGTTTTTTGATAAGCCTGGGTTATTTAGAAAATACTTTTTGCTGTATACTTTTCTAAAATATATTGGTCTAAAAAGATAAACTAGAAAATATATTTGCAACACATCAAACAGTGTTAGACTGAATAGGATACATAGGGAAAAAACGCACAAATGCATTTTTTATGCACACATGACTTAGTGTGTGAAATGATTTTCAACCTTACACATAATTAAAGACAATCAAGATAAAACAATCAACAGATACAATTTGCAA